TTATTTTTCGTTTAACCTGGTGTTTTTTTGTCTTTATTCGTTTTTTTTTCTTTCCTCATATTACATTCAGCCTCAATGGCCTCTTTTTCCGGGGTGTCCGTTAAAATTCTGGTCCGCCCAGGCTTTCTGTCACCTTTTTCTTCCGTGGCAGTGACTTGGGATAAGGACGAATCTCTTCGGGACTTTTAAGCAAAGCAGATGTGTTGCTTATGATAGCTGTGGTATTTTGTAAAGAAGTATCCATTGTATTTAAAGTTGACTCCTGCTGAGATGAGGATGTGCAAGGTTGAGCTGTTGGGTCATATATATCGGGTGACATCTCCTGAGATGATGATGTGCTAGGTTGAGCTGTTAGGTCATCTATAACCGGTTTTTCGTTAGGGTTTTGCCCTACTTCGTAATACGATCTGTTTGTAACTTCCGCGCCTGCGAAATCGACATCTTCAAATAAATGAGGGTTAAAGGGAAAAATTCCATTAGTGGAAAATCCTTTTGTTATATCCAACCAATTCCGGTATATGTTTTAACGAAATTGTTTGTCCCGGATGACTGACCATCCATGCATCTGCCTGTTCATTATAAAATCTCTTAAATGGACCAAAAACCGATACGTCCAGTGGTTGTAATCGGTGACTTGTGTGCGGTGGTAAGGTCAACAAATGAATGCCGTTTAATTTACACCTTCGCAAGGCTGTGGGAGAAATATGGCTATCATGATTGTCAAGGACTAAAATACATTTTTTTTTTGGAACATTTTACATGTTTTATGAAGTGATCTAGGTATTTCACGAAATTATCAGCGGTCATCCAACCGCTTTCATGCGTCATAGCAATGAAACCTGGAGGAGCACCTTGGATCATATAATCTTGCATTCTCACACGAGGAAATATAAATAATGGTGGCACTGAATTTCCCAATGCATTTATAGCACAACAAACTGTTACCAGTGTCCCACGTTCTGCAGAAGTAGTTTTTGAAATTTGCTTTTGCCCTTTACGAGCAATGATCTTTTGAGGTTTGTGCGCAGTAGTCACTCCAGTTTCGTCTAAGTTATACAGTGAGCACCATAAGTCTTACCCCCCCCCCCTATCTAACTCGTTACTGGAGTCTTGTTAGGAAAATCGCCGAGACACCTTGATTTTTGATTTCTACAATGTACATTTTTGTATAAATAGTTTACCCTTAATTTCATCCCTTACTAGAGGGGAGCAACCCTTTCGAAAAATTTAAATGGCATGGGGTGGTGAGTGATAGCTCATTTGAAAGAGGGTTTTATTCTCTATTCAACCGTGTAAAAAAATTTGAAATTTGCTTCATTAATTCTCGACTAATAGTTGTTTCAGAATAACGGACATTAATGTAGCGCACTCATCCTTAGAATTAAAATTCGGCCCTGCATGATTTCGGTTTTGGTTCAGACGTGAAGTAAGACTTTTTGCCATTAGGTCACTGTTAGTCTAGTTGCTTTCCTATTTTGTGAGGTTTTGTTATTTTTAAACATTAATAAATCAACACGTAATGAAGCAAATTTCAAAATTTTTTGCACGGTTGAATACAGAATAAAACCCCCTTTCAAATGAGCTATCACTCACCACCCCATGCCATTTAAATTTTTCGAAAGGGTTGCTACCCTCTAGTAAGGGATGAAATTAAGGGTAAACTAATCATGCAAAAATGTACATTGTAGAAATCAAAAATCGACCTGTCTCGGCGATTTTTCTAACAAGACCCCAGTAACGAGTTAGTTAGGGGGGTAAGACTTATGATGCTCACTGTATATGGATTCTGCACAGGGACTCCGTGTCATAAAGAATTCTACCGGTCACTTCAATCCTATCGATTGGCACTCCGTGTCTCCAAATAATCGCAAATAATCGTAACTATCGCCAAGAAGCGAGACGTCAAGACATATAGTTTTCTACGAAAGTAGGTAAACCGTCATACATTTTTGTTTTGATTTTAAAACATATGACATTGGATTTAATTTAAAATGAAAAAAAAAAGTAAAAATAAGAATTACGGTAAAGCCATTAGCTTTGTTGTTAATTCAAGTGAATTTTTTATTGTGGTGTGTGGTGTAAATATTATAATAGGTTTATTCTGCCATATTTTTTTAACAGCAAAATCTGCTAGGTCCACGGCGAATCTTCCTGCTGAAGAGGCACATACAGCCACAGCATCAGTATAAAAAAGATAATAATTGTAAATCCTTAATCCAGGATATTCCCCAATAAAACAAATAATTTTACAGTATGATACTTGACTGCCGACAGCGGTCTCCAAACTTACTTAATAATGTCATTGTAAAACTATGTTTAATAAATAATGTATCAGATTTTTATTTTTAATCTTTTATTGTAAATAAGTTTGGAAAAGGTTACAAATGAATTAAATTTAAGTAGATGTGCCCTTTTCCAAAAAAACCGATTCACTTATTTTTCTCTTCATTTGGTCGCAGGATTTCAACATGGGCACAATCTACTGCTCCAATTATCCCTGAAAAATTTCTTGCTTCTATAAAACAACTAAATTTGTTGTTTTTTCTGTATAGTTCTAGGAAACCGAATCCATTCCCCTGAAAAGGTGTTTATAATGACCGTTTTACCCCTTTAGCTCTCGACGTAATTCCATTTTATACTGGGACATATCTTTATTTAATCGAAATAACTCTACAAATCTTACATTTTCTATAGAGAATGGATCGTTTGTCTCTCTCATTACTAGCCTATCTATATTTTCCAAACGAAGATGTTATAGTCGTTCCTCCTTTTCAGCAGCTAATATATTGGCCACAAACAAAGGGGACCATTATTACAAATCAAAGCAAAAACTAGATAACACAAACTCAAAATCAAAGCGGCACCTTATCTGTCAGAAATTGACATACTTGACAAAAAGTAACAAATCTCTCTATAATTCATGCAAACATTTTTAGATCGGTTAGTAAATCTCCCAAAATGTCCGATGTTTTGCCATCCATGAATCGACTGTCACACGGAGTACCGGCAAAGCGTTTATAGAATTCTACAGTAGAAATCGATTGTAGAAAACTACATGTCGAGAGCGATGGGACACGGAGTGTCGCTACTGGACCAAAAGGTTCTCTCTCCATTAGATTGCGCAAGTATTTGTAAAACTCTTGAACATTATGTCGATTGAACGCCGTGGCTCTGCCTAAGCTAGTGGCTTCAGGACTTCTTAATGATAATTGGGGATGACGTGACATAAAACCTTTTAGCCAGTCGTAGGAAGCACACTCGTTTTTCTTCCAGTTTTCTGGTAGCTTTTTATCGTTTTCTTTTCCAAATTGATACGCGAATTTCCTTGTTTGCTTAGGCGAAAGACCATAGTACAGGTTTGCAGAAGTGAGCAAATATTCCATTAAAAGCGATTCCTCATGGGGCGAAAAAATTTGTGAAGTCACAAAATTTGGTGAAAATGATACCTCTATCCTCTTGGTATTTTGAAACATATCTTTTCAATGTCATTTTGCCAACATTGTACTTTGTAGCTCTATGCCTAAGCCCTTTATTTTCATTCACTACTTCAAGCACAGCACTCTTTAAATCATCTGGGGAATACTTCGTCTGACCTTTGCATTTCCATTTAAACGGCATCTAGAACAATGTACTCAATCTAAATAATTGCCATGAAAATGTAATAAATGGTTATAAACTATAATATAAATAAATAAAACATAGGGAGGTTTGATACGCGTATCAATCCTCCCGATACAAAATGTATCAAACCTCCCGGGACGACAAATTTCGGAAATATATGACATGAACGTATTTTGATATTCGATTAAAAATCTATATTACTGGCCACTATGCTCTAAATGAAATGCGGTCCAAGCATAACGTAAATAATTTCGTTAGTTTTTGTTGTTAAATAGATAAGCCTTACGTTTCTTATGCAAAAACTTACATCGAATAGGTAGAACACACACTTTAACCTTAAAACTTTTAAACAAGACGCGATCGTTGCTAGATTTTATCAGACACTGTTTTAAAACTCACAGTCGGCACTGCGCGTGGTTATGCCTTCTTTAAGTAACCGAGGTGGGAAATTTGAACGAGTATCAAGCCTCCCCACGTATCAAACCTCCCCACGTATCAAACCTCCCTAGTCTCCCCTAATGTTTTTCGCAATGAAAACAAGGTTGATAAATGAAACAAAAGACTGCATTTTATTTATTTATTAAGCAGCATCTAAATCTAAACAGCAAATATAATAAACATCTTAGCATACTTCCTCATTAAAAATGCAGAAAATAGGCTACGATAAATATTAACAAAACACATTGATTCACGTTCGAAAAGCTTTAAGCTGCCCCCTTGCTTATACACCAAAAGTTGAAAAGCGCCCTTAATCAATCATTATAGAACATTTTCTAATAATAAGAGACAAAGGGAACTCTCAACCCAATATTATATGTATTCAACAAATACTTCCTTAATTTTAGTTTACAGAAAGTTACAAAATGTTTAATTAATAAATGATCAAATAATTCCCAAATGTAAAAGTACTATAAAAAGATTCTAAACATAAAACAATATAAATTTACGACAAATATTCTCATATTATTTAAGTTAGTTAATAATTGACATTTATAAATTCTATTTATTTTAACATTGGTTAGATCTATAATTGTCTCGAAACACTAAAATTAATACTAAAATTAATTCAATATACAAGATATTCACTGTCAAATTTTAAATTTTACTCTGTAGAAGTTGATATTGTAATTATTAAAATTAAAAAAACTTTTATTTACCGAAAATAATAAAAAGTCTAATTAAAACTTCAAAATAATTAATATTTTACAAATTTCATTCAACGTTCTATATTCTAATATAAAATTCTAAAAACTAGTAAGAATATTTGTCATAACTATTTTTAAATTAATTCGTAATCCTTTTTGTTTCAAAAATTGGTCTCAAAATAAATGGATATGCGAACATTTTCGCTATTTAATCATATTCCGAATGTGTAGTTCTTATTCCATAGCAACATAGTCCAATATTGAATCGCCGACCGTTATGGGAAAAGTAGGAAGTGTATATTTGGAAGTGGAATCATCTTTGTTATTTAGATTGCTTGGAATTGTCAACATCTCAAAGTGGCTATCTGTCAGTTCGAACATGTCTTCTAGCAGCAATCTTAAAAAATAAAAGGATGTTAATATTCTCGTATTCTGATATGTATTTAGAATCCAATCCCTCATTCTCATTCTTTCTTCTAATTAAATATATATTTTATATAATATAACGAATAAATAAATAAATAACGTGCCAGGGTTGACGCCCCATATCTGATCCAGGATATTTTTAATTATAAATTATTTATTTGAATTTTTATCCATAGTTACGTTAATGCTTTTTCTCGAAAAAAATTCCCATATAGCACACATGATTTAAGAAGTGTTTCAGAAATATTTCAAACGTTTCAAACATTACACATTTCTGAAATATTTTAGTTAAATATTTCACTGAAAATGTTTCTGAAACATCGTTTACATGTTACACAAGAGGTTTCTAAACGGGTTATGTTGTAAAACGCCAACACTTAATGAAGAATTTCTGATTTGTAAGAAGATGGGATTTGTAGTTATTTTTGAAATATTTCGGAATTGTGTTTTTGCTGTATGGGTTAATACCAATTGAGAGTAAAAGATGTAAATAAAACGCCAAAGTACCACTCTTTACCTAGTTGTAGTATCAGGTTGGCAGATATAAACAGGTAAGTCGATATAAGTAATTTACCATCATTTTTATTAATATACTCAACCGCAAAATTAACCAGAAAAATATCGATAACTAATGTTTAATTATTAAAAACTTTTACAAAATAAAGTAAAATACTGATTTCATACTATCAATAATCATCTTCGTTTATGTTCATTTTATACAGTGTTTTGAAACCTGTCATAAATATGGCTCATTTAAAGTACAATTTACTCAATTTTTTCAAATGCAACAACAAACAATAGAAATAACAAGAGAGGACAGTAAGAGCGAGGAACAAAAATCGAGAGAGAGAGAGCTACACTACAATTTGAAGGGATTTAAAATGGATTCCATAGGTGGCGGCTGATTATTTAAGTAGTATGTTGTCATCAGGTGATTTTAATACAATTACGCTTCACGTGTCAACTAGTAAGTTAAATTTCGTACGTTCATGGCGTATCGATCCAAATGGTCAGACCTTTTTCCGATAATGACCCAGGTACAATTATTGTAAAAATGTATAGTAATAATTCGTTCATTAACACTATTTTACTCGCTTGAAAGAAGACCGACAAAAATCATAGTTGACCATAATTTTTCTCGTGAGCAGTGTTTTGCTTTATGTGAACAAAATATCCGATAAATTATCGGACTAAAATTATTATCTTAAAACAAAATTATTTAATATTTAATTTAACTTCCTTGTGGAGAGTTTATTGAATTTTTATGGTTGCATATTAGGGTGCATCGTATTGCATACATGAAAAATGATTTTTTTACCTTTTAAAAATGTAATACCTGTCGAAAGCTGGCCTTTTCAAAATAAATTCCAAATATATTTTTTAAATTACAAACAAAAATGTCGTTCCACCCCCGCCAACCCCCCAAAATAAAAAAATGTAAATAAGAAAATTAATAGTGAATAAAATGTTGCTATTGTTTAGTAATACATTTTAAAAATAAGTACTTTTTTCTTTAAAAAACTTCCACCCCCGCAACACCCTTAAAAGTCAAAATATCGATTTTTAAAATCTAATACCTTACAAAATATAAAAAAATATATGTATCATTTTTGTTATTTGACATTTTTCTCTACGATATTATCTTCCAGTCCCGCCGATGCAGGTCCATCTAATCAAGCCGTTACTACTGACATTAAAAAAAGAAATTTTTTTAAGCTTGACAATTTACCCAGAATAGTAGACAGATACAAAGTGTCTGATAGAGTAGATGCAGCAATTGCCTCTGCTACTCTAGTTGATGCAGGTCTAGTTAATAAATCCGATTAATCCAAAGGCATAGACCAAAACAAGATAAGAAGAGCGAGAACCAAGAAAAGAAGTGAACTACAATCCAACACACCAATCCAGTCAATTCGTGGATTATATTTTGACGGCTGTAAGGATAAGACTGTGGCAATTTCTCTGGATTTAAAACGCCAAACATCTAGTGTAGAAGAGCACATCGTTCTAATCGAAGAACCGAGATCTTCCTATCTAGGACACGTTGCGCCTGTGAGTTCCAGTGCTGAAAATATTTTTAGAAGCATTATAGACTTTTTTGAAACTTCGTCAAAATCTTTAGGAAACATAGTGGCACTTGGTTGTGATGGAACCGTTACAAACACAGGGCAAAAAAGTGGAATTATTATACGTTTAGAGCAGCACATTAAAGCTTCTGTTCATTGGTTCATTTGTCAACTACATGCAAACGAACTGCCGTTGCGGCATTTAATTCAGCACTTAGATGGCAATACAACAGGGCCTAATATGTTGTCGGGAGTAATTGGTAAGGCACTTGAAAGTTGCGAAAACCTTCCTAGAGCTAAGTTTAAAACAATAAATGTTGTTTTGCCAGAGATTTCCAGGGAAATTTTAAGCACAGATCAGTTATATCTTTATGATATTTGCAAGTTTATCTCGACCGATGTTTGTGACGACAGATTTCTGAACAGACATCCAGGAAAGTTGGTTCACTTCCGATGGCTTACCACCACAAATCGAATCCTAAGACTCTATGTGTCGACTCAGGAATTGTCAGATAATCTAAAAATTTTGGCAGAGTTCATTGCAAAAGTTTATGTTCCGATGTACAGTAAAAACGGAACCATCCTGTGTTTATGGTGCAAAACATCTCTTTGACACTATTAAGCGCTCAAGGTATTTGCCACTTGAGCTGAAAAATGTAATCGATCCCGTTATCCTGAGAAATATGCTGTTGACAATGTTGACTGATGAACGAAAAACTACCCGTGAGCTGGCAGTCAGGCGAATTATTAAAATTAGAAATCAAACGGACCTTCACACAGAAGTCCGAGCATTCATTTTACCCAAATTTAACTTCGATGCCGAAGACTATTATGACCTTCTTCAAACTTGGCAGGAATTTCCTCTCACTGAACCACCTCTTTTAAAACAAGTATCTGAAGACAATTTGCAAAAAATTGTCAAAGACTACTCTAATTCTTTGGTTATTACGGAAATAATGCAGTTCCCTTGTCACACTCAAGCTGTAGAAAGAGCAGTTAAACTTGCGACAGAGTCTTCTTTATTAGTGACTGATCCAATAAGGCGCGATGGAGTCATTAGGAACACCATTTTTTCCAGGGAAGTGATGCCAAAGTTTAATACAAAAAAGATTGTTTTTCTACCAACTAGGTATAAAAACTTTTAATATATTGTAAGATTGTAAGTTTTTTAAAATCTTTTTTCGACAATAGAACCACTTTTATCATGTTATATCAATTTGGTCCCTAAATTAACAGTGGTAAACTGAACAGAAACTAAAATGATTACACCCTATTACGTTTTTAAAATCAAAACAAAATATATTAAGGGGTTGCGGGGGTGGAAAATTTTGCACAATTTTTTTTAATTTTAATTTTTAGTTATCAGGTTTTAAAATCCCTTGTTTTGAGACCTGTTGCATTTCTTTAAGTAAAATTTAATATTAACGATGCACCCTATTGCATATGTATGTTCAATTATATACCGTGAGCACCATAAGTCTTACCCCCCCTATCTAACTCGTTACTGGAGTCTTGTTAGGAAAATCGCCGAGACACGTCGATTTTTGATTTCTACAGTGTACATTTTTGAATGAATAGTTTACCCTTAATTTCATCCCTTACTGGAGGGGAGCAACCCTTTCGAAAAATTTAAATGGCATGGGGTGGTGAGTGATAGCTCATTTGAAAGAGGGTTTTATTCTTTATTTAACCATGTAAAAAAATTTGAAATTTGCTTCATTAATTCTCGACTAATTGTTGTTTCAGAATAACGGAAATTAACGTAGCGCACTCATCCTTAGAATTAAAATTCGGCCCTGCATGATTTCGGTTTTAGTTCAGACGTGAAGTAAGACTTTTTGCCATTAGAAGGTCACTATTAGTTTAGTTGCTTTCCTATTTTGTGAGGTTTTGTTATTTTTAAAAATTAATAAATCAACACGTAATGAAGCAAATTTAAAATTTTTTTGCACGGTTGAATAGAGAATAAAACCCCCTTTCAAATGAGCTATCACTCACCACCCCATGCCATTTAAATTTTTCGAAAGGGTTGTTCCCCTCCAGTAAGGGATGAAATTAAGGGTAAACTAATCATACAAAAATATACATTGTAGAAAACAAAAATCGACCTGTCTCGGCGATTTTCCTAACAAGTTAGTTAGGGGGGTAAGACTTATGATGCTCACTGTATGTTATATATAATTTTGGGATTTTTTCTAATACATCAAGAACAGTATTCATCATGAAATACAATTATATACAGATCACATTGGCAACATCGTGCACACTTTAAATATTCGAGGTCACAGCTTTATTTTTACGACATGAATGTAGTGTCTCATATTGGTAATTTTTGGCAACCCCCTGTAATTATTTTAGCTATAAATTTGTTCACTGGATTATAATCTTTATATTAAACTACTACCCGAAATAAAATCCCTTAGCATAAATAAATTCAAAAAACCTTAATAAAGAAATACTATCAAGACCACAGTAGTACCCCCAATATTCGTAACATAAACTAATTTTGATAGATGTCATTTATGTGTCATAAATTAAGAATCCTTTTGATCAGCAGATGGAGCAATATTCCATATTTGATAGTTCTTTTGTTCAACAGATGGCGTGATAATTTTATTAATTCTAAACAGTAACTGTTATAAAATAACAAATTCATCACCCCTAGCCACTATGCGATGATAAGTAAACGAGTTCTTGACCTTGACAAATATTTTCGATGTAGCAGATACCTAAATAAAAATGTTGGATTAGATTCGGCACATCGGTATATTTACTTAGTAGTTCATTCTTGTGTCCAGTCAACAAAGGACAAAGGTCTTCGTATCATTACGTAAGGACCTATTAAACTGTACATGGTGTTTCGTTAAGAATGGGACAGAACAACTGACGATTCTCTGATCAAAAA